AAGTATAGATCATTATAAAGGAATTGAAAGTCGTTGCAAGTTTTTAAATTATATGGTTACTCTGTTGCAAGGTGTTAAACACCTACAGGTGGAGACCAGCTACGGTACAACTTCCTGCCATTTTCTTTGCTGTAACACGACATGACGTCAAAACGACGTCGTGTGCGTTACTTTTCTTAGTAGAATATCAAAGTATGGATCATTGTAAAGGGATTGAAAGTCATTGCAAGTTGTAAAATTATATGGTTACTCTGCTGCAAGGTGTTAAACACCTGAGAACGGAGACCAGCTACTGCCACAACTTCCCGCCATTTCTTTTCAGTTTAAGACGACATGACGTCAAAACGACGTCGTGTGCGTTACTTTTCTTCCTAGAATATCAATGGACGTCACGCTGACAAGCGGACTGAAGTGGGGTGCACATATTAATAATATCACAACTAAGGCGAAGCAGACATTGGGAGTGATTAAACGTAATCTGTGGGCATGTCCAACTAGAGTAAAATCAATTGCATACACGTCACTTGTAAGACCGAACCTAGAATACGCTGCGACAGTATGGGATCCATTTACAAAGAAAGACAATGACAAATTGGAAAGGGTACAGAATCAAGCTGCAAGATTCTTTATGAACAACTATGTAGGAGGTGGTAGTGTCACGGAAATGAAAAGAAACCTACAGTGGACCTCACTGGAAGACAGAAGAAAGATGTCTAGACTATGCATGATGTACAAACTGACTAATAAACTGGTGGATGTCCCAACTACTAAGTACCTAATACCAGCCCAGAAGAGAACAAGAAATAGCCACGCATTCAAGTACCAGAGTTATCAACCAAGGATTGAGGTGTTCAAGAATTCATTCTTTCCTAGAACTATCGCAGAGTGGAACTCACTGTCACCAAGTACAGTAGGGGCATTGTCAATAGATAGCTTTAAACAATGTCTAGAGCTAGAAGTTCAAGGGTTAGGTGTAACAAGTCGATCGGTATAATATAGCCAGCTGCCGCCGCGCCGCGTGCCTGCGAAGCTGGTGTGTTACGCCGAAAGGCGGTTATACCGGCTATACAGATACAGAATGTATGGATCATTGTAAAGGGATTGAAAGTCATTGCAAGTTGTAAAATTATATAGTTACTCTGCTACAAGGTGTTAAACACCTGAGAACGGAGACCAGCTACTGCCACAACTTCCCACCATTTCTATTCAGTTTAAGACGACATGACGTCAAAACGACGTCGTGTTCGTTACTTGTCTTACTAGAAGATCAAAGTATGGATCATTTAAAATGGATTGAATGTCATTGTAATTCTTAAAATTATATGGTTACCCTGCTGCAAGGTGTTAAACACCTATAAGTGAAGACGAGTTACGGTACAACTTCTCGCCATTTTCGTTTATTTAACACGTCATGACGTCAAAACGACGTCGTGTGCGTTACTTTTCTGAATAGAATATCAAAGTATGGATCATTATAAAGGGATTGAAAGTCATTGCAAGTTGTAAAATTATATGGTTACTCTGCTACAAGGTGTTAAACACCTACAGGCGGAGACAAGTTACGGTACAACTTCCCGCCATTTTCTTTAGTTTTAGACGACATGACGTCAAAACGACGTCGTGTGCGTTACTTATCTTACTAGAATATCAAAGTATGGATCATTATAAAGGGATTGAAAGTCATTGCAAGTTGTAAAATTATATAGTTACTCTGCTACAAGGTGTTAAACACCTACAAGGTGGAGACCAGTTACGGGTACAACTGCCCGTCATGTTCTTCAGTTTAAGACGACATGACGTCAAAATGACGTAGCGTGCGTTACTTTTCTTACTAGAACACCAAAGTATGGATCATCATAAAATGATGGAAAGTCATTACGAGTTATAGAATTATGTGCTTAATCTGACGCAAGGTGTTTAACACCTGAGGGTGGAGACCATTCACTTGAATCGGCCGCCAGCATCAGCAGATTATGATATTGTCGCTAGGTGTCGTTTCTAAGTCTTTAATTTGCACTTTATCGTTTAATTGGTACTTTATGATTTTATTCATCTTTGAATTGATATTCTATGCGTTATTACAGACCATTTGCAACAATTCCCCATTCGTGATTTTTCTTTGGGGTCGATTTAGGAAATTTCTGGGATTTCGAATCTGTATTTGAATTAGCTGCTATGCTCGGTTTAGTCCCGAATCGGCGGCTGAAAGGGCGGCTACGAATCGGCGGCCCAATCGGCGGCCTACTTCAGGTTGGTGGCAAACCTGTTATATCACCGGCTAAAGGTCAAAAGGCAATGGCTCAAACTAATATCTCTGAAGAGAGTGTAAAATCTTATGTTAATTCCTCCAGGTTCATTCAAAAATCCCATCAAGGATACTCACTGATATTCATCTTGTTTATAATAGTAACTTATTTCACGAAAATACTTGTAAATAAAAGTCCAAGGCTATGAACAAAAGTGAAAATCACCCACTAAAAGTGGACCCGTCTGAATTGCAGGGGTCATCAGTCATAGGTCAAGTGTCTCGAGTGTAGAAATATTCCTCTAGATTTAGTTTGCGAATTTACTCTAATAGCAGGCTTATTCGCTGCAACCTACCGGGCCATGGCTGCCAAAAGTGGGAAGAAGTCTGTGCTCTTCGTCTGTCTTGGTAAGTTCTCGCAAATCTTTCAAATCACCGCTGCCAAATGTCAAATTAGTGCCAACATAGACTACAAGAGTTTGATGAAATTTTATTTTTAGACAGGAAAACGAAAAGGCCCGTGTTGAACGAAGAAACGTTTTCTTCAGAAAATTGTATAATAGTTATATTTATTAAGAATATTAACATATTATTAATTATATTAATATAAACAGGTAATATCTGCCGGTCACCCATAGCAGAGGCTGTTTTCACCCACCTGGTGAGAGAGAAGGGGCAACTGGAACAGGTCAGAGTATTCGTGATCATAATTTTGTCAAAATATGTCACAGAACTGTAGTTTGAACTGTAGAACAGTGTAGAACTGTAGAAATTTGTTTGCATAATACTTTGGTTTTTAAAGTTTGACGAAATAAATTTTTCTGTGAACAATTTTTGTCACATAGATGACTGAATAGTGGTTTGGCTAGCATACCCATATGTTAAGTCCCTTGATGATATCTGAGCTTGATGTAACACAAGGTTCAAAGTTGAAGTTAGTAACAGCATGGAGGTAGACCTCCATGGTAACAGTTACCCATTTCCTATGGTTACTAGTGTTACTATCATCTAGCCATGGCCATGGGTCATTCATTCAAAAGTATCTGTGTGTTTGTGTATGTGTATGTGACAGTGGGACATCAACAGTGCAGCAACCATCGACATGCATGTAGGGAAGCGAGCAGACCCAAGGTCTAGGGCCTGCCTAGAAAGGCATTCTGTGCCCTATGGTCACATCGTGCGTCAGGTACTTGTCAGATGCCGCTTTCTAACGTACTAACCTGTGCTGACAGTGGTTCTAACTATATGTTGTAGTGGACAGTAGACAGTGCAGGCACTCATGACTGGAATGTGGGGCTTCCACCAGATGAGAGGGGCCAGGCGTGCATGAGGAAGCACGGCGTTTATAAGGAACAGATTGCGAGACAGGTAGTTATAGTGGGCTTACATCTGTCTTGTCTTAGCTTGTTTGTAACTGTTAGTAACTGTCAGTAACTGCAACTAATAGTTACTGTAATGCACTGTATGACTCACAGTGTTGTATAATAATACCCATGGACATAGAAGTGGAATACCAAGTTTACCAAGCAATTATGGCATCTTACATGCCATACCCTCTGTTGCTGCAGTTGTTAATCTGCATATTTTTCCATGTGAAAGGTGACAGAAGAGGACTTCACCAAGTTTCAGTACATCCTCGGTATGGATCATAACAACATAAGGTAAACACTTCGCGCATTAAACATGGAAAAACCCTGAAGGGGTTAACAGATTGTACTGAATGCTTTTGTCAATAGTACACTTACATGTATTTTGATTTAAATGATGATAAACACATTTTTCAATCTGAAGATATTTTTATTTTGTGCCAGACATTTAAATGTATCAGAAGAATGTAGAATTTTTAAAAAAATTCTCAGGATTTACTCCATGACAATTGCCTGTAAAATATGTATTTTTCTTTTATAGCAACTTGAAAAACATCCAGCCTCCAAAATCCACAGCAACAGTGAAGCTACTAGGCAGCTTTGATCCTGAGGGGCAAGAGGTCATTGAAGACCCTTACTATGTAAGTGTCACATATTGTTGACCAGAAGATTCAGTTTTGCATACCAGATATATATATCACATTTGTTATAAAATTCCTTATGAGTTATGATGTACATTAAACTGTTGGATGCAATATTTTGCAGGGAGAAGAGTCTGACTTTGAGAGAGTGTATCAGCAGTGTGTGCGTTGCTGCAAGGCTTTCCTTGACACAGTGTAGAGTCCTGGAACATCCACACTCATCTGTGCCAGAAAGTGGAGAGTACATTAAGTTTGCATTGCTCAAGTAACAGAAAGCAAATTGTCTTGCAAAACTGCAAAGAATTTTCATATGGTTTAGCATTTAGTGTTGAAATATTCCATCATTGTAGAATTGAATTGATGTTAAAATTAGAACTGGATCTTTTAGGGCATGATCGTTTGCAATTGGGTCTTACTTTCTTAGTACCAAGTACTGAGATTATATGTTTAAAAATTGGAGCTGAAAAAGATAATCATTTATTGATTAACTTGTTGTTTGATGACCACTGAAACTGTGTTTAAACTAAAAGTATGTGAAAATGATTATAGCAGCTAATAATGATGCTTATGGAAGCACCAATGCAACTATTGCTGTTGGCTTGCAATTATGTCTTTTCTTTCCTTCTTCCATAAGTGAGCATGATAAAGATGCGCAAAAGAAGCTATTCAAATAAACAATGAGTCTTTATTTCACCACTTAACATAGATAATGCTCTGTAGCCTTGAAAGTAGAAAAATAAGTTAAAAACAATTTTTAAGTTGCCTCATAATACAAGTATAAAATACCTTACCAACCCTATAAATTCAAGTGCATATTATTTACACTCTGCCTTAAGAAACACCATAGGACCAAGCCTTAAGAATGTAGTAAAAAGGGCACTTAACATGAAATCCGCACACATGATACGGTTGGATATGACCAGGAAACTAAGGGCTTAGTTGACGTGGGCAGCCAGGAAGGTAACCTCAAACTTATTGCTGTCCACAATATTGTAAGATCCTCCTAACCACTCACTTAAAAGTAGATGCAGATTCTTGATTGGTTGCATTGTAAAACACAGCTGCAGCCCTCTACCAGTCTAAAACCACATTACAACATTGACTGGTCAGACAAAATTGCACATTATTGTCATCTGTAAGCTATAACACACAAACACACTTAACATACTAGTATTCCATGACCTAACAATTATCCTATTACAGTCATCAGCAGAATTCATCTCTTATCTCATGTTGTAACAACACTGTTCCCAACCATGTTACCATACCATAGTCACAACTACAAGATATGCCATGAACATTTTAGACATATTAGTGTCATCTCCACTTAGTACTTCCCCTGTAAAAAGGTGTTTTGCTGTCCATGGGTTACTAAATACATGTCACCACCTGTAGCCATGTAACACAGAAAGGCAAGGATGTGTATGGTTTGGCCCTTCAAGAACTAAGGCCTTGGTAACTGCACGTAATTGGCAGGGAAGATCCCCTTCCTGCCCTTTAACCTCCCTTCCCACCAGTCATTTTGGGTATGAGTTCTGGTCAGGACAGTAATCTTGTCTCCCTCTTGGAAGTACAGGTCACAGGGCAGCTCTCCCTCAAAGCTGAACAATGCTGTAACTTCAAACGGGCATGCCAGTCTGTCCATAAAGATGCTCTGAAGGTCTGAGAAATAGTTGTGGTTAGAGAAACAGCAAGCCCCTAACATTTATCAAATAATAATAAGAAAGGAACAATATCAGGTGTCTTGTGTCAGTGCTGCTTTCAGTGCAACGTTAATCCACTGGAAAGTCCCTTTAAATGTACATCTCTCATCCCCCAAGATGACAGATGACACATTTAGACATTGATAAATCAACACCAACCTTCTTCACTGGTTGTACGCTCCTCCACCAAACTGGTACATCTCCTTGCTGATGTGAATTTGGATCTCATTTTCCTGGACGGTTTGTCATCTGCACAGAACAATTGATAGTGAGTAGAAATATGCTGACAGAATTATCATAATAATACAGCACATCACCAAAAACATGTCCTTTGAAGCAAGCCATGTCTACAGAACTAGCATGAGTTGGAAAACAGTTTAATTTTCTTCATCTACAGAACTACATTTAGTAATCTATACTACCTTAAACCATTATTTCACACACCTGAAGTGGAAGAATTCTTCATGGACTTGCTTCTGTAGGATCCAAAATTGAAACTCTGAGGGATCAGAACATGAGAATATATCAACTGTACAAATCACAGGTATCATGCTAAAATGATGTGATCCATGTTATTGATGAGTCTGCCCAGCCATAAAACAGTAATGGTGACAGAAATCATGGCCATTACAACTCCTAACATAAACAACAATGGAGAAACACCTTGGGACGGTCAGCTTTTGCAGCTTTCTTCACAGCAGCCTTCTTGGCAGCCTCGACCAGAATTTTCTCTGCAGCTTCATAATGTCTGTGGAGGATCTCGTACAGAGGGTCTGCCACTGATGGAGGATGTACGGTCCCATTCAGGATCTCATATGCCCGCACATCCCCACCATAGAACCTGGACAACAGGTATGAAAACTTTTATCATACAAAAAGGAGAAACAAAGTAACACTAACACTCTCATAGAAAACATTGAAACAAAAACAATATGAAGGCCAATGTACAGTACATATATCAACAAGCTATGGGCCTCTGAGTTATCTGAAAATTGACTTTTTAACCTACTTCCTATTTGCATCCTTCCTTTCGATGATTCCTGTCCCTTCCAAGGATATCCCAGCAAACAGTCCTCTGGTTTTGCTGTAGGTGTATATAGCTGAAGGGCTTCTAACTGCAACATCTCCCTCCATGTTCCTGCCGAGTGGCCCTGTTTAATATATTAATAGTAAATGTAAATGATCTTCAGAACATGACATAACACACTGTGTGATATTTTAAAATGCTATCACAGTCATGCATTCAAAAGTGACATTACGAAAAAGACGATATATATGAAGAATTGGTCACCTGCTGCAATTGTGAAGTTGCCACCTAATGTCAGGTTGCCACCCTTGGAGAAAGCATCTACTGCCGATTGACTGTTTAGGATAATGACAAAGTCTGTGACCTGAAAGATAGAACCATATATTGTGAATATTGCTTGCATACATGTATCTCAATTTCAATATCCACCTACTAAATACACATATTTCAAAGAAAAGAGTGATGCTTACTTCAGCTCCAATTTCAAATCCACCTCCCAGTCCTGCAAGACCCACTGCAGATGGCGCTGACCATCCTGTCGATAAATGTCAAACAGTTACCACGACAACCTTTTCAGTACCATATGAATTTTATACAGCTTTAGATTTTCAGTATGGTACAATGGGCTCTCATATCCTCAAGATGTGCAGTCATTTTCGGAAGTGAAAATAATTGACATACCTATGACAAAGAAAAATGTCATGTTTTGATTGCACCCAATTTTTCACATTCACAGAATGACATGTCATATGTCTCATATCCCAAATGATGTTACTGCTATATGTATAATATAGGGAGAGTGATCGTGTTCAAAAAATACATTATGAATACCATATTTATCCTACAGTGACTTACTGTCCTCAGATATTCTGGCAATAACAATGCCACTGCCTCCTCTAGCGCTGACAAGGAATCCTGCCTTAAACACAGTCAGGACAGCAAGCCCACGGGCACGGGCTAAGATAGATACTGGGCAAAAACAAAGAATTATCCAGCAACAAAGAACTGATGAAAAGCAATACAAAAGAGGAAGAATGTGTCACATACAGATGTCCAAATTCCATACAGAGTAAGTATTTGTATTGAAAAAGCTGCAAAAGACATTATCAAATCAAAAATTACCCATTTTATTATTTTTTAAGAAAATGTCAATGCATAATTTAGATCTTCTTAAATGTTAATGCATAATTTAGATATGCCGAAACCATGTTATTAGATACAATTGACATGCCCCTAATTTTTACCTATTAATGTGCACAATACATGTACGAGGTAATTTCAGTAGATTGCAGAAATCCTCCCTTCTCAGTAGTTGATATGACTTACCTGGTATGATTTTGTCTGGTCCAGTTTTTGCACTTGGTACTGTGAAGTCCCTCAGGATCTTGGCAGCCTTTTTAGCCTCAGACTTAAGGCTATGTGGAACTGGAGTGTTCACCACTAGAAATTAGAAAATATGCATGCATATAAGTCTGGCCTGGTTATGTCATGTCACTAGACTCATCTTTCTCGAGAATGATTGCATATTGTACATGCATTGCAATGCCATTTGACAGTACCTATATGGCTGGATATTTCTGTTATATTATATTTTGCTACACCTGAAATAAATGCAAACATCAAATGCAAACGGGACTCTTATTATAAAGTTCCTGCAAATCTGAAGTGAGAGGTGACAATTGCTAAAAGGAGTCATATTCTATCATATAACGTTAGTAACGTATATAAAACGTCCTTGGTTCAAAGCAGCGAAAAACAACTTTGTATGTGCCCCCTCCCACAAGCTGGAAATTAAAATATCAAAGCACGGCCGAAAAACACAGAAACACGGCCATGTCAGGCAACGTAGACAGTGTCTACTTACTGATGGATAAGGCATGTGTGAGTTCCTAAGTTCGTGTGGTGTTCTATTGGCTTGCACTTGAGGAAAGCAGGCGCTGAACCCTAAAAAACGCAGCTACAGAATTGAACCGTTCGCATCACCCGCCGCCATTTTCCTTGACCTGTGATTACCTCAGGGTATCGTCTGCGCTGACACCAAACGAAACACGTCACTACTTTCGTCTCGTCGCCTGGATTATGGCAATGATTCTTCTCAGAATACACTTGAAACGTCTTTATTGACGTGTTTTGCCCCATGGGGGTTTTCTATCAACACTTGCAGTACAGCGTAATCTTGAGAAAATTAAAAGGGGTCGTAAGCACGACAAACATTCAAATCCACCACATTTTCGCGGGTTTCCCCAAGACGCAAGCTGATTGGCCAGCCCATGGGCGTGTTCCAAACAGCCCTCCTAGTTCTTAGAACATTGGAACAAGTGTTCGGACGTTCTTGAGATTCTTTCCAACGACATTCTGGTTTCGAACCGTGCAGTTGTCTCCTTTCTTTTTCGATTTCTTTTCCTTTGTTCCCAGCTCAGGAAAATCATCTGTTTCAGGTGAGCAAATGGAAATCAATTTCCTGGCGGGTTATATTTGTTTGGCTGTTTGTCTCGCTGTTGATTTCTTTGTCTAGCATTACCGCCTTGTGGTGATTCCTACCTTTTAACCTTGCCCAAACATTTTCCTTACTCTTAGGTTAACTGTCGTCAGATTTGAAAATGGAAGACGCCCAGGCTACCCAGGCTATGACGATGACTTCGCCTGACTTTGTACAGCAAGCGGTAGGACCGCTAGGACTTCCTCAGATGTTTTGGAACGACTTTAGCGTTTCGGACGAAATCTCAAGGATCACGTACAGGTTTGAACAGTTTTTCGGCATTTTCTGTTATAGACCATAGATATTGCTTCAGATGAAAGCTAACTTGATTTTTTTTAGAAAAAAAACGGTAATCTAGATTGGGAGACTCTTCAGTGAAAAGTTTACAAATGCGACGGTCGTGTATATTTTGGTTTTAGACTATGACCTTCAGAATCAGCTGTGATTTAAATGTCTTACTGGAAAAGGAAGCTGATCTCCGAATCGTACCTATCGTATTTGATCAAGACCTCTATCGTTACCGTTTGATCATCCCAGGCTTGGACCATTGCATTGGTTTTTTATTTTTCTACGTTCAATAGCACTGATCTGAAACGCGAGACTCTTGGGAAAATGGATAGTTAGAGGGCTCCAGTCTTAATGTCTGACGGAAATTTTACAACACTTGCTGAATCAGTAGGCCGGTGATTTTTGTCGTTCGAAAAGACAGTTGTCCGTCAGTGAAGTTCAATTCCACTGAGGATTTGATATATAAACTTTCAGTTCTGAGCAAAGTAGTGACCAGAGTTACATCGTAAATATGCAATGTTGCCTATATTAAACCGACGATTTCCGTCCGTTATGAAATTTGAGATGCGTGGTAGGCGAGGAAAGGCGCCGGGCGTGGGTCATTCCATTACAGTTTCAGGAAGGATACATTAACGCTGCAAATCCGGCGCATAAAAAGCGAATTTCTTTCATAATCTGTGTACTATCAAGGACCATATGATTTCCTTGGAATAATGAAATCAAAATTTTATGCAATCAAACGATCCAAAATTGGAACTTTCATACGTTTATCACTTCAGCGTCAACGCCAACCACTTCCCAGCTAAGTTGTGGATACTGGTGAACGATCCCCGCATCAAGTCCATCTACTGGGACGAGGCGGGGGAGGAAGTGGTGATCGTACAGAGCCAGTTCAAGGACGAAGTCTTGGAGAATCGCCAACTGGACGTCTTCAACACTGCCAACTGGGACAGCTTCGTCAGGCAACTCAACCTCTATCAGGTGACAATTGATGTGTAGTTTTATATATATATATATAAATGGGTCAAAATCAGCCTTGGGTCCTAGTACTTAGTGGTCTTATTGCTACAGTACTGCTTCGAAAGTGATAGCCCTGCTAACCTTACCAAAACAGCTATGGCGATGTCAAGTGATTTCTTCCTAACAAGTGTAAACAATTTCCCACTCTATATCATTATCTTTATTATGTCAACACAAGAGAGAAAGCATTCTAGTGACATAACCTCAGTGTAGAGCCACTACATATCTATTCCTTGAAGGCAAACTTAGAAATGAATTTCTAACTTAATTGTTGTTGTGATTTATCTGTTTGTTTACAGTTCAAGAAGAACATCATGGCAGCCAGACATGAAGGCAACAAGGACATCCATCGATTCCGGAACAGGTACTTCAGCAAAAGCCAGCCAGACCTGACTATGGTGAGGAGGCAGAAGAAGAGGAAGAGGCCAGACAGCACAGGTCCTGAGGACACACCCAATAAGGAGAATTACCCACCAAGTAAGGAAGAGAGTTTAGTCTACACATGACACAAGTGATTTACTGTTTTCTCTATGATTCTAACAATCTGCGGGTTCCAAGACAAAAGCCATACAATCTTAAGGCAATGGGAAGAATGGACAAGAAAATACTATTAGCTCCATTCTCTCATCCAGCTTTCATTCTTATTATCACCTGCAACATTTGTCAGCATTGATGACTTACTGTTTCTATTCTCTATTGTCCAGATCGTATGGGACCCCCTGGTTCAACACCCTTTCCCCACCCCAACGGCAGTGTAGGATTCCGACCAATCCCCATACCAAATGGCCAGGCTGCTATGCCAAACATGCCTTTGGGATCCAATGGTAGCATAGCTGTCAACAACGGATGGGCCCCAACCTACAGTGGGGAGAGGCTGCCCCAGTTCAACTCATTCTCCCAGTCATCCCCCATGTACGGGTACCAAACGCAGCAGTGCTACCCTATGGGTGGGCAGTTCCGAGCTCCCTACATGCAGCAGCGTTACCCACAACCAACAGGTTTCTCCACTCCCATCACCCAGGGCCCCAACAGGCTCCCCGTCCAAACCTACAACTACAGCCCGTATGCCACACAGGCATTCGACTACAGCGGCATCCAAGCAACACCTAGCACCATGGACAGGAACGACTCTGGGAACCAAGGGGATGCAAAGGTTGTGGTGGAGTTCATTGACGAGAAGCAACAAGAGTTCCTACAGGCTATCAAGGCCATCGCCAGTGTGACTGACTTCCATCCCAAGACAACAGAGACTAACATGATCATCTCTGGGGACATCGCCATCAAGGTGGAAGGAAACAACACAGTGAACGACTCTGGAGTGTGGGATATCAAGGACAGCATGTCGGACACTGGCTCTCCCCCTGAAAATGCCATCCTTGCAACCATTAGTGGTCCAAGCTCTACTGTGCTTCCCACTGCCCAGTCCATTGTCCAGTCGGGACAAAATCAGGTTGCTGATGGGAGTTTCATCACTCATGCCTCAGAAGCTACTACTGCTTCCAGTAAAGAGAACTGTGTGATGTCTGAGTCTCCTCTTGTTGTCACCTCGTCAGAAAATCCAACATCCTTCACCCTAGTGCCTACCTCAGATGTTACTGCTAGT